ATATCACGCAGCAACAGAAAATGAATATATTAAAAAGAGGTAGCAAGGGAAATGCTCCTATATTTGATTCCCTAGTGTGTTAGCTGTCTTGATGGACACATGAATAGATGCTTAGGCTCGCTAATCCTGGGATGAACTCTGCCAGAGATCCCGGTTAGTCTTCACTGACGTTGCAAAGAGTTGCAGCATCTGAATAGCATTTTCTAAATGAACTGCTAGATTGTAGGAATATGATGGAAGTCGTGTATAAGGAATCTTTTCTGAAAGAGGTATTGATTTAAACTTAAGACTGGGTAACAGTGATATTTTAAGTAAGATTTACATTGAGAGAAAAAAATAACATCTGAGTTTATACAGAAATCAGATAAGCTACTCTATATTAAGGGACTTAATTTTTTTAAAAACCGAGTTTATCTTTATTATGTGACAAAGATGAAATTCTTTATGTGCCACCAAAGTTGTATACTGTAGTTTCCAAAAATACCTGTTGCTGTTGTTAAGTGCCGTGGAGTTGATTCCGACCCCTAGTGACCCTGTACAGATATGGTTTCCAAGGAGCAGCTGGTGAGCCTAAACCGCCGACCTTGCAGTTCAAACAGCTTTGTGGTCTGGCTCATTAGCCTATAGAGCCACACCAGGACTCCTCTGCTTACCATTAATTGCCAATGAAATCAGTTTTTATTTTGGTTAACTTTTGTGCTTATTTTTCCTATACTGTCATAGCCTTTATGTAAGAAAAGTAGGGCTAATGAAAAGATAAGAAGCTAAGGCTGTTGAAGATCAAAAGTTCAAGTCATATTCATAACACTTTAGGGTTGTAAAAGAACACAGATACTCCCTTTTATAGAAAAGGAAAAATTTCAAGCTATGTCCTAGTAAGTATTTAATGTGTAAAATTTCAGTTTTACTTGGATAATTGGGAAATTTTAAATTATTAATCTTGAGATATGTAAGTAGTATGCTCATTTTATTTCTTTAATGCATGTGAACATACAATGCTGAAAAGACTATTACCATAGTATTGTTTACAAAAACAAAACTAGCATTTTGTTACAAGTATCAACAATATCAATACCTATATATAAGCTCCTCTCTTCTTACCTGAAGGCGCACTTTATCGGTTTCGGCACTAACTAGGTCATTTTCAAAGGATTAAACAAGAACAAGAGAGCTAGCTAGCCTGCCAGCCAGTGTGTTTGGGGTGAGAAATTAGAAGACTTTGTTCAGGAAAGTAAACTGAGTGATGAAAGAAAAGCACTTTGTACAAAGTAGCCACTGTTTGTCAGCGTTACAGTAAAAATCTAAGAGTGATGCTGAAATTGTCCCAAGGATTGTTAGTTGTGGGGAAAATAATACTCTTAGCAGTTAGGAGGCTATTATTCTAAGTATCATTTGCTCCTAGTTGATTCATTGTATAAGTAATTAGCAAATTAGCTTGGAATCAAAGGTTTGCTATTTGATTAGTATTCCATTATTTAATTTGAAAAGCTGTTTGCTGAAGTTTGGTGGAAATACCTTTTGAAGATACATTCTCTGAGCCTTACAAATGACTGGTATTGGCAGTACTGTAGGATGCACTGCCAGCAGATTTATACCTTTAATTTCAGTGTACGACTGTTTTCCAAGAAAGATGTCTGACATCAGCTGATTAACTTAACAAGTGTTTCCTTTAGGGACTGAAAAAGTAAGTTGTGTCTCCGTCAGAACACTTCCCTTTGGAAAGGTTGTATTCTTATGTGGGGATGTTCATGAAGTTATTCTTTGGAGAAACTGCCTCAAGAGTCTGTGGGGTATGCTAGGGTTTTCCCTTCTTAAATGTACCCGATGACTGAATTGTTACTATCTGTAGTAATAATTTTAGGTACCTGTTGGGTTCTTACATGAAGATGATTTATTTTCAGATTTGCTGCTGTAATTCAAAACTTACTAACTGGTCCTGCTGACTGTGCCTTTCATCACTTGTTTCTCTGTGCTACAATCGTTCATGCGTTCTGAAATAAAGAAGTTAAAAAGAGCCATGTTGAACTCAAGAATTTGTTCTAATAAAGTATGTAAAACTTGATGAGCAGTATTAATTGATTTTTTCTTACACTCATACAGTAGTAGTTTTCTTGATCTATTTCCCAGTAGAAAATGGGAGTGGGTCCTATATATTTCATTTGTTCAAGTCTTTATAAAGAACAGAAAGCCTTAATGTTAAGACAGTGAATCAACGGTATGCAAGTGTTTACTCAATTATAAAAAACCGTAACAGTTCCCCAAATCAGAGCAGCCATTGTGGGTTGCTCCATGGGGTGGTTTTTTTATTTTGGGCATAGAGTTGTTTCAGGTGATATAGGTTCCAAGTCCTGGTGTGGCGCTGTAGGATAAACACTGGAGTGCTAACCATCAGGTTAGTGGTTCAAACCCACCAGCTAGCTGCTCCTCAAACTATACAGGGTCTGAGTTGGAACGGAGTCGATGGCACTTAATAGGTTCTATAGGCTTTTTTAGGTTAGAGTGAGATCAGGTGATGATGTAAATGTTTCAGACCTCGCACATTAGAACCAGCTTGACTACTGCACGTAGTGAGCGGTCTGCTCTCATCACAGTCTCCACACCAAGACTCCTTTCAAAGTAATGCCTGTTGTTCATGCGCTGTCAAGTCAGTTCTACTTTCAGTGAACCCTGCACAGCATTTCCAGTGCTTACTCTACAGCGCCACCTCAGTACTCCAAGGACTGTCTAATTCATAACTAAAAACTGTTTTCCCCATGCCCTTGTCACTTTTGTGCATATCATCGACATTAAAACAAGCCAAATGCATGCTTTTAATTCAAAAAATATTTAATTATAGATATGTACATTTATTAGTTTTAAGGAATGTTAATTGACAATAGTGTTCACATATATTTTCCTTAACTCTGCAAACTTTACACTTTATGATATCTACAATGATCATTTATTTACAAACTTTACAAGAAATCACCAGCACTGCACCAATACTGTTGACAACAGCTAAGATTTAATCTTCTCACTTTTTCTTTTCATTTCACTCTGTATTTGTAGAAAGAACACAGGGTGTGAGTAAAGTTCCATCCTAGTGCTAGCGACAGTCCGTAGAGTAGGATAAGAGGTGCAAATGGATAGAGAAGAATTACTGTATTTTTCAAAAATGGCAATGCTGGAAAAGAAACATCCAGATTAAATAAGGTAAATATACATGACTAATACAATAAATGAACGTTCTGAAAGATGGTTCTTACAACAACATATGGGGCCAAAATGGGAAACATTTGCATCAACAAAATGATACTAAGCTCCCCTTTTGTGCTGCTTCCTTAGGGCTCTGAAGAAACTAAGAGGGAGGATTTCAATACAAAGCATGAATGAGAAGTGAGTGGATCTGGGACTCTCAGGTTAAGAATGAGGACAGACATCATAAACAATAAGTAATAGATTTAAATCTCTGAATGCTTCAGAAGCCTGGAAGAGTCCATCTTAAATTGCCAACAGAAAGGGAGGAATTTTGTTACAGGTAAACAACTTTTAGCCATTTGAGATTTCCCAATTTAAAAACGGGAGTCCTGGTGAGGCGCTGTGAGATAAAGCACTGGACTGCAAGGTCAGTTTGAACCAAAAGGTCGGTTGTTCATATTCACCAGCCACTCCTTGGAAACCCTACTTAGGACTGCTATGCGTTGGAACCGACTAGATGGCACTTGACAACAATGTAATAAAGCGTGCCATGGAATCCCTCCTTTGAGATGGTGAGAGTTCTACTACAATCTAAAGCTTTAGGGAAGCACTACGTCTGGCCCCTGAACCAGTGTTTCCTGCTCAGTGGGACCTTACTCATGCATTCTAAACTAAGTAATTCTCATGTAGAAGTCCCCAAATGAAAACTGTTTTCAACTGAAGGGGGGATTATCAGGAGACAACTGAAAATTCTGTGGAGAAAAACACCATGCTGCCGTGTTCTAATCACTTAAGTAAAAATTCATTATGAAACCGGAATATCACAAACGTCTTCCCCAAATAAAGCATTGCAATTTGAGGGCATTTTAAGTAATCTCTGGCAAAGACCCCTATGGCTGGATAAGGACAAGTCTCTACATTGTTTGTATTTACATTAAAGTCTAATCATGCAAATTAATGAGGGCTAGACAAAAAGCTAAGACAAGTCCCAAAGGAAAAAAATCTCACTTTTATTTAGCTTCTATTAAATCATTTCCTACTAGGAATGAAGAACATAGTATGTTCCGCATATTAAGACAAATGAACTGACAACAAGGGTTAATACATTTGCAAATATGTCCTGAGGTTGTAAAAGTTGAGTCTGACCATACTAACCAAAACAAATCCACTGCCAGCAAGTCAATTCTGACTCAAAACAACCCTATAAAGGATTTCCAATACTGCCAACTGGTGGGAGTGAACCACTAACCTTGTGGTTAGCAGTCTAGTGCTTAACTTACAGTGCCACCAGGGGTCCTTACAGAACCATAAAGTGGCTGTACAAACTGAAAATCAGGCAAAAAGATGATTCAAAGGTTTTAGACAGATTTAATTTCACATATCCACATGTTTAGACACCTAACCCAACCCTTTCCTCACAGCACCCTACCCACTGGTAACCCCGAACCTAAAAGCAAGAGAGAAAAGGGAGAGGGAAACTTGTGGGTTCCTACAAGTAACTTGGAGAAGACCAATAATGGTCTAACTTAGTTGTTTGAAACGATAATTCGCTATACGTTCTCTCTGGGTGACTGGGAGCAAGTTACTTCCTCTCTCTCTGTGCCTTAGTTTGAAAACTGGAGATCAAGTGAAGATTATATGAAGATTAAGTGAGATTTCTTCAAAATACTTGGGACAGTGCCTGTCAGGGCTCCATGGTAGTGGGGGTAGTTGTGTGCTATGGGGTCGGTTCCAACTCAGAGCAACCCTATTAGGTTTCCTATACAGGGTTTCCAAGGCTGGAAATCTTTCTCCCTCTGTGTACCTGGTGGACTTGAACTGCTGAACTTGTGGTTAGCAGCCCAACACTTAACCCACAACACTATACCCAGGCTCCTGTAAGGGCTCAATGGTGGTGGTTATGTGCTGTGGAGTCAGTTCTGACTCATAGGGATGCTGCATAGGATTTCTGAGGCTGTAAATCTTTATGGCAGCAGAAAGCCTCATATTTTATCCATGGGATGGCTGGTAATTTCGAACTGCTGACCTTAAGGTTAACAGTCCGACTCGTAATCACTACACCACCAGAGCTCCTTAAAGGCTCAATAGAAGTTATTAGTGTTACTAATAGAACTGCTTCCCTTCCCACCAGAACCCCAATTTTCCAAAAAGCATTTTTCAAATCACTTACCACTGTATCCTAAGAAGGTTACATAGATATAATAGCCAACTGCAATCAACCACAATGTATTTCCAATGCAGTATCCAATGAACGTGTCTGTTAGGATAACATCTGTCAGAAGAGATGCAAACAAAGACTCTTAACCACTGCATACAATGAAGGCTTTCTGGAAATATTTTGAGAACTGCTACTTACGATTAATGAAAAACAGCTGGATAAAATGCAAAATGACCAAGAGCGGATAGAAAGCATTCAGATGCACATCAAAGGCATAGCCCCACTCCACATCAGAGTCTCTACTCTGTCGCTTCACTAAGTACTTGTTAGAGATGAACCTGAAAAGCAAAATTAATTCTCACAATATCGTTATAGTTGACCATTGAGCAACACAGGTTTGAATGGCTCCAGAAGCTCAAGTTGGAGTAGCCCCCTAAAATGCCATGCTTGCTAATCATCACTTCATAAGTAGTTCATTTCTTGCCCAGAAGGTTACCATCGCACGGGTT